CCAGCTTCCACCACCATCTCCCTTCCTCAGCCCTGGTTCCACTGGTCTTTTTTGGTTCTTTAAATATACCAAGCTCTTTCCTGCCTTTGTCCCATGTGAGGTTCCTCTGCTCCATGGGCTTTTCCCTCCACTCTTTACCTGTTTAACTCCTGCTCCTCCTTCAGGCCTCTGTTTAGGTATCATTTTCTCAGAGATACTTTCCAGAACCACTCAGTTTAAACTGCTCTAAGCAGTTGTCTCTCATAGTTTATCGTTCTTTTCCTTCCAACACATCTACAATTCGTCATTTATATTTATCTGCTCACTTGTTTAGTGTGCATCCCTCTTCCCCTTAGACTGTAAACTCAGGGTCTGGTACACCACTGTATATCTAGGTCCTAGCAAAATACATGGTTCATAGAAGGAGCTTAAAAAAGATTTGATGAGTCAATGAATGAAGATAGGAAATAGGTGCCCTGTGTATGATGATTATCAGTGGCTTGGGGGACAGAGGGGAAGATAATATTGGGTGCTAGACAGAGTAGGCAGCGACTCCTGTGAGGAGGCAGGGGCTGTGCTCTGAAGAATGAGCAGGATTTGGGTGGGAGTTGGGGAAGAGGGCAGAAGGAGAGGCCATTCTCCTCTGCAGAATTAGCTGAAGTTAGATGAAAGATGCTGCCTCTCAGCCTGTAGTAGCCAGAAGAGCTCATGACCTTGGCTATTTCAGGACATAAGGCTTTTGGAGAATGGTTTCTATTTGCCTTCTCCTCCCACCCTGTGCTATATTATCAGTAGTTTCCACCCCTCACCCCACCCCCTTGTGTGCATGTGTGTGTGTTCGTACACACACACACACACACACACACACACACACACACACACACACTCAAGGAGATCAGCCAACTCAACCTGTCCAGTAACTGTGGGTGTGTTTGAAGTAGATGCTAGGGAGATGGTGCCAAGAGAAGCAGCCATGGGCAGCCCCCATGAGTAGGGGAGGAGGTTTGGAGGGGGAGGGAGAGGCCTGAGGTAGCCACTGGAAAGAAGCCAACTGCTTTCTGCTTTCTGAAGTCTTCATGGGTTCAGCCTGTTGGCTGAACCTGCCCTCTCTGAGCTTCGGTTTTTCTGGCTGAGAATAGGAAAGCACTGCCCTGGGCAGGCATTCCTGTCCTGGGAGCCTTTGCTAGCCATCTCCCCCGATCCCTAAGTCTTTGGCACAGTCCAGGGGGGCTCTTTGCAGGAGGCAGGGCAGGAGGAACTGAGCCCATTGGACAGAGCAGGAACCTGGGGGAAAACATTGTCAGGCATCTGAGCTTCCTGTGACTGCCATTTGGGGATGATCTTCCTCTCCGCCCTGGCCCAAGAGGGAGCTTGAGCTCCCTTTAACTTGCTGCTGCTTCTTGTCAGGAGCGTCGCTTGATTTTCTCTGAGACAAGCCCACTCGTCCAGCAAAATAGAGTCCCTCAGGGTGACGGTTGACTTCCTGAAGGTGCCTCTTGGCCTGAAGAAGCCAGTGCTGAAGGAGGTGGCTGTGGGGCCCCCCAAGAGGCCCCAGTCTGTGGCCCTGGAGCGCTACAAGGCACGGCGTTCAGACGCCATGGACACCGAGTCCCAGTACTCGGGCTATTCCTACAAGTCGGGCCACTCCCGCAGCTCCCGCAAGCACAGGTGGGCATGCGTGTGGGGTTGACATAGATGGTGGAGGGAGGGTTGGGAACAGTTCAGAGGTAGGCACCTGCAGGGGTGGTGAGGTGGGGGTGGCTGCTCGAGAGGACCCTGGTTCCCCCCTTGACTTTCTGTGCCTGTTCCTCTGGTTCTCTGCACAGGGACCGCCGGGACCGGCACCGCTCTAAGAGCCGAGATGGGAGCCGTGGGGACAAGTCGGTGACAATCCAGGCTCCAGGGGAGCCCCTGCTGGACAACGAGTCCACGCGAGGGGATGAGCGGGTGAGTGTCAGGGGGATGAGGTGGTCTAGCCCAGGCATTATCAGAGTGTTCCTTGGAGAAGTTGGAGGCTTCATCAGTGAGGAGAAGGGTCTGGAAGAGTCTCTTTAGACAGAAGCCAGATTAGGGAGGGTTTCTTGTGTCATACTTCCCTCGACTTAGCATCCCAAGGTAGGACTTGTTCCAGTAGAATTCCAAGAATTTCAATAGGGATCCCTTTGGAAGCCTCTTCTTTCCTTATCTCCAGAGAGGTGAGGGTGACCTGGGCTGTGTAATAGGAATTGCCTGGTTCCTCTGGAGCTGATGCCAGCCGTCAAGCGGTTGGAAGTCCCGGCAGGACAGTGCTGGTGGGCAGAGCCTGGGGTGTTGGGGGAGTCTTGAGGAGCGGGCACTCCTGTGCCCTCTGGTGTCAGATGGTAGAATGGCATCACCTAGGTCTTAGGGAAAGGAGGTGTCGGAAGAGTAGATGGAGAAAGGGGCAGGGAGAAGAAGCGAGACTGAAGGGATGGAGGAAGACCCTGGAAGAGAGTTCACCAGGACAGGGGTGAGCAGGTTGCTTCTGTTCTCACCTCCGTAGCCCACTGTGCTCACCTGGTAGCGAGGACAGTGGGCAGACCACAGTCCTGGAATATGGCAGAGGCAGGATTCGAGATGACACTGAGGTTGCCCAAGTCTCAATCCTCCTGTTCTTTCTTCTGGGGAGCATCTTAGCAGGTGGAGACTCCCAGATCTTTTTCCTCAGAAGAAATCTCTGTGGCTGACATTGGGAATTCCTGGGTCTTGGCAGCAGAGCAATACCTGACGGAAATGTTCTTTCTCCCTTTTTCCCAATCTCTTCTCCCTGGGACCTGGTCTCCTAACTTCTTGAAGTGACCCTGAGACACGATCAGCTCACCTGTTTTGGGGGAGGAGTTCCCAAGCCCTTAATCCTTGGAGAGGGCAGGCAGTATGTTTCAGGTCATAGGATGAGAAGCAGACCTAGTTCTTTGAGCTGAAAGCAGTCAATTCATCCACCTCCCATCTTTAGATCAGACTCTTTTCCCATCCTTGGGAGAGGAGATTCCTCAACCTCCCTAATCACTGTCCCTGCCAGGCTGTCGACAGCACTCCCCATCCCCAGTGTCTCAGTCCTACAGCCTGAATTCCCTGGGTGACAGGCTATGACTCCATATCCCCAGGCCATCCCAGGACTGAAGTATGTGGGCACTGAAGGCCATTTGGGCAGGATGGCCTCCAGCCACTGCAGAGAAACAGCCCAAGCAGACCACATTCAGAAGGGTACCTGGGGACCTCAGCCTGTCCATCCCCTTGCTTCCAGGAGCAGGCAGCCCCTGTGCTGTGGGCATTCATATGGCCCAGCAGAGCCAGCCTCGCTGACCAGAGACCCAGAGTAGCCCCGAATCTGCACTATGTCCTTCACACCCTGCCCTGATCATTCATACCCCCACCCCCACCCCAGCGTCCTCTTCTCTTCACGCTGCTTTTGTCAGGTCACTCCCTCAATCAGAAACTTACAGTGGCTCTCCATGGCTGGAGAATAGGTGCTCATTGCTTAGCCTGGCATTGCAGCAGGGCGTACAAAAGCCCCACCTTCCTGGCCATGCCTCACTGTGCTCCTGCACATGGACCCCCTGCTTTCACAATCCTCTGGGTACCTCAGTTCATGCCACTTCTGCTTTGAGTGCTCCCCCTGTAGCTTCTGCTGGAATCATGGAATGCTGCAAAAGCTGGAAGGAACTTAGGGCAGTACTTCTAGAATTTTAATGTTTGAGCGATTCATGGGGATCTTGTTAAAATGAAGATTCTGGTTCAGTAAATGTGGAATAGTCCTGAGGTTCTGCATTTCTAACAAGCTCCCAGGTGATGTCCATACTGCTGGTCCACAGATCACTTTGTGAGGAGCCAGCCCTTAGAGATCATTTAGTTCAGTAATACTTGATCTTGGATGAACATTAGAATCATCTTGGGAGCTCCTTTAAAAAAAGATTGACAAGCAGATCCCACTCTCCAATAATTGGTATTATTTTCCAAGATCCCTAGGTGACTCGAATGTGTGCAGCTGGGGCTGGGAATCACTAATTCAGGCCACCTTCTTCATGTCACCTGCCCCCAAGGATCTACTTAGGCCCCACCATTCCCTGGAGTCCTGCCTGCATTTCGTCACTGCCTGAGCAGCTCCCTGCATGTGTCTTGTGTCCTCAGCTCTGAGGGTCGTTACTGCATGTGCAGTTTTTTCCTCTCTCACTGACCGGTGTATAGCTCCCTGGGGCCTGGGTCTCAGACTGGATACTGCAGACGTCAGACTTGGACACACCGTGGAGCTCAGTAAATACTTTGATGGCTGCGTATTTGCTGATTACCCTTTCTTCTTTCTGCCTTCTCCTTTCCCATGCGTTCCTCTGTCTTCCCTCCCTTCATCCTTTCTCCTTTTTCCTCTCCTCCTTCTCCTTTTCTTATCCTTTCCCCTGCATGTGTGGCCGCCTCCTGCCCGTAGGATGACAACTGGGGGGAAACGACGACGGTAGTAACAGGCACCTCGGAGCACAGCATCTCTCACGATGACCTCACGCGCATCGCCAAGGACATGGAGGACAGTGTCCCGCTGGACTGCTCCCGTCACCTGGGCGTGGCGGCGGGGGCCACTCTGGCGCTGCTCTCCTTCCTCACTCCACTGGCTTTCCTGCTGCTGCCCCCACTGTTGTGGCGGGAGGAGCTGGAGCCGTGCGGGACAGCCTGCGAGGGCCTCTTCATCTCCGTGGCCTTCAAGCTGCTCATCCTGCTCCTGGGCAGCTGGGCTCTCTTCTTCCGCCGGCCCAAGGCCTCGCTACCGCGCGTCTTTGTGCTGCGTGCGCTGCTCATGGTGCTCGTCTTCCTGCTCGTCGTCTCCTACTGGCTCTTCTACGGCGTGCGCATCCTGGACGCCCGCGAGCGCAGCTACCAGGGCGTGGTGCAGTTTGCCGTGTCGCTGGTGGACGCCCTGCTCTTCGTGCACTACCTGGCCGTGGTCCTGCTGGAGCTGCGCCAGCTGCAGCCTCAGTTCACGCTCAAGGTCGTGCGCTCCACCGACGGGGCCAGCCGCTTCTACAACGTCGGCCATCTCAGGTGTGGGCGCGTGGGAGGCGGCGGGCGGGAAAGGGCACGGGCCGAGGCTGAGGCTGCCACGGTGGGCTGGGGGCGATGGGCTGGGAGGGCTGTGCGGAAACGAATCGAGTACTTTGCGGCTTAGTAGGTTTTCACCGTTTACTGCTTCATGGGAGGGTCCGGTGCACGGTCGTGGGGCAAGATGGGGCGTGAGTTATGAATTGGGAGTGAACAAGCAATAGAGATGGGAAGTTTCAGTGGCAGATGGAACAACGGGGAAAGAGGTGTGAGACACAAACAGGGGCTTTTGGAATCCATTTTCTAGCCCTTTCTTGGAGGCACAGCTTCTCGTGGGTATCAGTGAATGGCCACTGAGATGAGCTGGCCAAAGGAGGGACCCCCCAGAGGAAAAGAGAAAGGAGAGTTCTTCAGCTCCCCCATACTTGTGGATGGGGTGCCCTTCCCCCACCAGGTCATACAGAGCATCAGTGGCACCTCCTGGGTACTGTCAAGAACCTTGGGGGAATGCTGGAGGGGGATGAGGTGACCCTTGGCTGGGGATCCAGGCCCAATGCCCTTTCTCCCCTGGGCTTCAGCACAGCAGGGAAGGACTAGCAGGCCCAGCTCTGGGAAATGCTTGGGAGCCTGGTAAGTAGACCTCGGGCCCTGAGCCAGGCTTCTTGGAAGCAGCTTGTCCCTGTCCTGTGTCCTCTCCTGCCCTGCCAACCTGCCCTGATGTGTCCCTTCCCCTGCGCCCCTTGTCTGTCCCTTCTCCCTCCCCCTCCTGCCGTCTCCCCCACAGCATCCAGCGCGTGGCAGTGTGGATCCTGGAGAAGTATTACCATGACTTCCCTGTCTACAACCCTGCCCTCCTCAACCTGCCCAAGTCCGTCCTGGCCAAGAAAGTGTCTGGCTTCAAGGTGTATTCCCTCGGAGAGGGTGAGCAGCCCTGCTCCTCCGCCCCTCCCGCTCTCTTCCCATGCAGGACTCCAAGTTACTCCTCTCTCTCACCCTTCTTCCCTTGCTTTCTCCTTTCCCCAGCCCATGTCCCAGCCCCTTCTGTTCTGTCATTTCCCTTGACTCCAGGTGGCTGGTCTTAACTGCTGATTCTACTCGCTGTCCCTTTATGCTATGGTGTGTCCCCTGATCTGGCTCCTGTGTCTGCTCATCAGCCCTAGTCTAGGCCCTTCGGCTCTCTGAGCTCCAGAACCTCCTGGGGAGGAACGTGTGCAAGACTCCTGCCCTTCCATTTCCTTCCTTGTTGCTTTCCTGTGGCCTCGCCCAGAAGTGTCCAGGAGGGCTGGGAATGGGAGTTATTGCTGGGAGGTGGGAACAGCTTCCTCTGGACATGTCGGGCTGCTGTCTCCAGAGCTCTTGGAGTGGGAAGAAGGGCCATGCTCCCGACGTGACCATCCCACTATCCTGCTCCTGTGCAGAAAACAGCACCAACAACTCCACCAGCCAGTCCCGGGCTGTGATTGCAGCGGCGGCCCGGAGGCGGGACAATAGCCACAATGAGTACTACTATGAGGAGGCTGAGCACGAGCGGAGGGTGCGCAAGCGGAGGGCCAGGTGGGTCTCTGGAGGAGAGGAAGACAGAGGGGGGTTCCTGTAACTGCTGGAAATACAAGAGCAGTAATATGGGTGGGTGTGTGTGTATTCGTTTTTCATTGCTGCCATCCAGATTACCATAAACTCAGAGGCCATAAACCAATACACGTTTATGATCTCCCAGTTTCATGGGTCAGATGCCCTGGCCTCACTGGCTGAAATCAAGATAAGCATCATCTGAGCCTGGGCTGCTTCTCCAGGCTCACTGTTGGCAGAATTCGGTTCCTTGTCAGGTGCTCCACAGGTAGTTCACAACATGGCAGTTCACTTTTTCCAGCAGGAAGTGATCTCTCTCTGACTTCTGCCACCAGAGAGAGAAACCTCTGCTTTTAAAGAGCTCATGTGATTAGATCAGGCCCAACAGGATCATCTTATTTTAAAGTCAACTGACTGGGCACTTAAATTACATCTGTAAAATGTACCCACATTACTGAATAACGCTGGTAGAGGTGGGAGGACATCTTTGAATTGTGCCTGCCACAGTGAGGTAGGGACCTCAAAAAGGGGTGTGGGCCTCACTTGCAACGGCAGGGACTGAGGCCTGACTAGACTTCCTACCAGGAGATCTTGAAGGCTTGCTCAGTTTACGGTGCTTTTTTTTTTTTTTGCCTACAAAAAATGAGGTTCTAGTTTCCACATTTTGTTAAATTCTTAAATGCTGTCCTCACGCCTCTCTTTTCGCTGTTCACAATATTACGTGAACTTAAGTCATGTCTGAAGAATATTTCTTGGTGCCCACTCCTTTGTCCATCACAGGCCCCGTTTGGTCCATCGGGATTTCCATGGGGAGGGGCAGAGTGCTTTGGGACTTGGCCATCCACCCCGCTCTCCGCCCCTCCGCCCAGTCTCCAGGCCTCAAGGGCATGAGGTAGCCCTTGACCTGTTCTTGCACGAAGCTCGTGTCCTCTGTAGTAGAACAAAGATCTCTAACTCCATTTCTGTGACGTTCTAGCATGTCTTCAGTTCTCTCAGAAATGGCCCTTGTGGGAAGGAAAGCAGCTATGCCCCCTACCCTTTACCTTCTGTCCTGACTAGGGTCTTTGGATCTATTGTGCTGCCACCATCACTCTTGGCATATAGGGGGGACCCTTTCCTTTCCCCATAACCTTCCTTGCTTGTAGTTGGGAGAAAACATTTTTCCCTTGGTTAACCTGAGACAGAAGGATCTTTTCAAAAGGAACTATATTGAGAAACTTGAGGGAAGCAAAAGAATAAACAGAGAAACCGTAGACATGCACAGATACACACACACTCAGCCCAGAGTCCCATCCTGAGCTAAGTGAAGTTCCCGGGTTGCTGGGTTTCCTGACACTGGGCTACAGGCCTCTCTTCCTTTTCTTGTCCTGCCACCTCAAGCTGGTCCTACTCTTAGGCCAGGTGGGTTTTATTTTGTGTTTTGTTTTTTTTGGAATTCAAGTACAGAGAATTGCATTAATCGCCCTTCTCAGCTCTTAACACATTGTCGTCATAGGGTTCTTCATAGTTCTTTATTCAACTTTCCCTTCTCTCCCAATCCCTGCCTTCACTCCACCCCACATTGCAGGCACCCACTTCAGTGGTGCCTGTATGTATTTCTTCAAAACGCGAGTGTATCCTTGCACAAATTTAGTGTTGGTGTGTGCATGTCCATATGCTTTTAGTAAATTGACATTTTTTCCTGCTTCCTCCTTCACACGCTGTTGTTGAGATTCATTCGTGTTGTCTGTACATCCGGTTTGTTGCATCTTATCGCAGCATAGTAATTAATAGAATCCTATCTAATATCTGGATTATAGTCATCCTCCTCCTTTTTTCCATTTTGATGAATAAGTAGCACATTATTAACATTTTAATTTGCATCTCTCTAATTACTAGTCAGTAACTACTACATATATTTTTTAGCCTTTCAGGCTTCTTGTGAATTTTCTCTCCACCTCCTTTGCCCATTTTTAAGGTTATTGCCTTTTTCTTGATAGAAATTGTAGCGAATTCTTCCCATATTCTACATACTAATCCCTTCTTGGTTTTAGGTGCTACATATATTCCCCCCGCACCCCTGTCAGATGTCAGTTAATGTTGCCTGTGCTATCATGGTTGAATAAAAATCTGTCATTTTGATGAAATCATGTCTATTAATTTAGGGCCTAATGAAGTGTGATTTGAGGTCTTATTTAAGAAGTCTTTTCCTAGGGTTTGATGGACTGCTTGGTCTTTCCTATAGCACAGTTCCTAGTTGTCTCTCTGGGTTTGACACTAAATTTGTCTTCTTTGAGTCTCTGGGCTGGGTTCACTGAGCTCTGTGGCTATTTCCTGTCTCCAGTTGGGGAAGGGCCGTACCACTCCCACCATCCACCAGCCCCCAGATGTCCAGCCCTTGGTGCCAGATGGGTTTGTATTGCTTTGGAGGGAGCACAAAGGCCTGGCCTTGCTTGGGCTGTTGGCAGGTTGGAGCCAGATGAGGGGAAGATGAGAGGTGGGCATCTGGTGCTGACCCCTCCTGTCCCCCAGGCTTGTGGTGGCAGTGGAGGAGGCCTTCACGCACATTAAGCGGCTGCAGGAAGAGGAGCAGAAGAATCCCAGGGAGGTGATGGACCCCCGGGAGGCAGCCCAGGCCATCTTCGCATCCATGGCCCGTGCCATGCAGAAGTACCTTCGGACCACCAAGCAGCAGCCTTACCACACCATGGAGAGCATCCTCCAGCACCTTGAATTCTGCATCACACACGACATGACGCCCAAGGTTGGCCACTGTGCTCCTGGCTTCCTTCCTCTCTCCCCAGCTTCTAGTCCTCTTCTTTTTTGCCTTCATTTTCCCTTATTCTCTTACTTCTTTCCTCATGTCCACCACTCTCTCTCTCTCATCTTCGTCTCCTTCTTATAATCTCATCCCTCATCCCTACCTCTTCCTCCCTGTCTGCACGGGGTGAAGTGGATGAGGAGAAGGGGGGCTTCAGAACTACTTGGGGGAATGGCTGAGACCCCTTTCTCATCTTTATAAGGGCTCTAGAGTTTCCCAGATCCAAAGTCCCACCTTTACCTCCTTACCCACTCTACCTCCACCAGGTGGTCTTTGCTCTGTGCCTATTTTGAGCTGTTGCCCACCCCTCAGCTCTATTGCCAGCTCCCTAGAATTGCTTTCTCTGAGCTGCCCTTGGTGAACAGGTGACTAGAGATGTTGTACTTTAACCTCAACTCCTCCGACTCCCTCCTGGTGCACACCTGCTTGGCGCTGATCATACAGGGTGTATGGGAAGGAAGGATGAAGGAGGAAGGGCTTGCCCGGGTCATGGTCTGGGGTAAGGAGAGGAGCAGAGGCTGGGGGCTCAGGGAGCAGAGCTCCAGTCCTGACTCTCATGAGCTGCATCACCTCTATGGGCCCAGCTTCCTCATTTATAAAACAAAGGTCTGAAGCAGGTGATCTCACGCCACTTCCTGCTCTCATATTCCAAGATCCTAGTTCATATGCAAAGAGCTCAGGGACATCCATGCCCCAGGGATTGAAGGACAGTAGGTGGATGAGAGAGATTCCTACACAGCCCCTTCTCCCCTCCCCAGGCCTTCCTGGAGCGATACCTGGCAGCTGGACCCACCATCCAGTACCACAAGGAACGCTGGCTGGCCAAACAGTGGACACTGGTGAGCGAGGAGCCGGTGACCAACGGGCTCAAGGATGGCATTGTTTTCCTCTTAAAACGCCAGGACTTCAGCCTGGTGGTGAGCACCAAGAAGGTCCCATTCTTCAAACTCTCCGAGGAATTTGTGGATCCCAAGTCGCACAAGTTTGTCATGAGGCTGCAGTCTGAGACCTCAGTGTGACTGTGCAACAGCAGGGAGAATGGGAGACTCTGGGGGGCTCCTGAGGGGGTGGGAGGGGGCTTGGCTTTCAGGCCTGGCCCCACATTCCTGCCACCCTTCATCCTCCTGCTCTTGTTTTTTTTACTTGAATTAACTTACCCACCCCCCCTCCATTTCCTCCCCTCCTCCTTATTGACCCTGTGTGATCCTGGGGAGGCCGTCCTGCTGTGAACAGCACCTGGGGAGTCCCTCCGCCCCTTTTGTATCACTCCAGGCCCTGCAGGAATCAGTGCCTCTCTCCCTCTCCTTCCCTAACCTTTCCCTGCTGACGATCTCTTCTGAAAGGGCACAGGGCCCTCCTGATTGTACCCTCGTCTCCTGTTTCTCCACTTACACACCCAGTTCTTTCCAGGGGCTTCTGACGGGGCTTCTCTGGGGGGCATGGATATGACTCCAGAGAGCCATGGTGCCAAACTCCTCCAGGGCAGCAGCTCCCCATCCTGTCTCCTGACCGTACCAGTAACAAACCCTGAGTTCCTGCCACATAGCACCAGAGTTAGGAATCCCCCCACCAGGGTTATCTGCCTCCAGCTTAGAGTCTCCCATCCCCATCCATGCATATTTAGAGCAAGGGAAGGTCCCCTCCTTTATCCAGAAATCTCTACCTTCCATTTCTGATTTGCATGGTCACCTGTGACCACAGGCAAACCGAGGTGGAAACCCTCTGGGACCACTTTTCCTGGGCCTTACGGGAAGGTACCTTTCTTCCAATGTGTCTTTCCTAGGCAGCCTCTGAGGGGAAGGGCAGGATAGACCCCTGAGGTCTGGGAGAGACCCTGGTCACTGACCCTTGCCCTCAGAACCTGCCCTCACCTTTGTTTCTGCCCTTCCCAGTGAGGGATGACATGTAGACTCCTGTACAGACTGAGTGGCGTGCAGACCCTGACGCAACCCCTGTGGTCTAAGACAAGCATTTTTCTTTCCTTCACCAGCCACCCTGAGACCTGCTGTCTTCTCTCGACTCCAGAGACCTGTCGCGTCACCTCTTCTGGGGGGAAGAGCCAGCAGCTCCCCTCATCCCCTGCCTTAAGTCCAGTTCTTTGCCTCAGGGGTCTCTTTTCCTGGCCCTTCCAGGGTCCCTTGCTCTTCACTCCCTGCCGAATTCTCTGGGTTCTGGGCTCCCTCTGTATTGGGGTTAGGGACCAGGATTATTGCCTTTTGTGGGTACTTAGCCCCTCACCCTGTTTTAGCTTCCAAAGTCTTTGTACCAAATCCAAATTTTCAATAGTTTAGGTCTCATTTTGAGAAAAATTTGATGGCCCTGTAATACATATTTTTTATGTAAATCTGAGCCTTTTAATCAGACACTTTTAAATTACGTAGTTTTCACAAAGGGGAATGGAAATAGGAAGCACCCATATACGTCCAGCCAGGATCCACATGGAGGACCATGCCCCTGGGCCAGTCCTCTAAATAACTCACAGTGCCCCTTCAGAGGCCCTTCTTTCCCCAAAGACACTGTTGGTTCCTGCCTTGCAGAGCACACCCTGGGGTGAGATCCCTATTGATCTCTTACCTGGGAGGCTTCCTCTCTGCCTGGTGGCAGCCCTGGGGTGACGGAGCCTAGTGATAGGGGGTTCTCCCGCTGTCCTTTCTGAAAAGGCACGACTGTCCACCCACCACTGGCTAGAGAGGGACTCATAGCCATTGTCCCCACTGGGATGAGGTGCAGGGCTGACTTGGGCAGGGCCTCGGGCTAGGGCTGAAAGTTTTTGGATAGGCCTGCGTGAAATCCATTCTTCACTGGAGGTCCTGAGAAGGTATCTTTTCTTCTCTTCAAAAACCTGATTTCAGAGGAGTCCCTTCCTGTCACATAAATACCTCACTATCCTGGAAAACAGGGCCTGGATGGTGATTGGGGTCATGGCCTTTGTGGGCAGGAGGGGATGTGGTGTGGTTTGAGGAGTGGGCTGGGGTGGGGAGAGGGAAAGTGTTTGGAATCTTAGTTGCTGCCCTAGGTTAGGGGTGGAGGAGTGTTTATTTTAAAAACCTGCCATGTTTTTAATCACTGTGATTTTTTTCATTCCTTTTTCTTAAACAAAAAGAATTTCTTCCCCCAAACTCTCTCTCTAAGCACTAAGGGCTGTGACTGAGAATGGTAGCGTTTTTTGGTCCTTTGCGTCAGAACTGTGGTATCTTTGTCTTCTTTGATTATTATTGTTATTATTATTTTTTAAAACTTCAGGATAAATTGTCAAGTGTATGGCTGTGCGTTTGTCTTTTGTTTCTCCTGTATGGGAAGTTGTCTTCATGCTGTGAACTGCTGTGGGGGGTGCAGCTGACTCAGTTTCTCCGAGCAGTTTCCCCCACTATGCCTGTCCCACCATTCGGTGGATTTTCTCATTCTTCCGCTGCAAGGGCATGCCTGTCTCTTGCACTCGCCCCCCCACCCCATGTCACCATAAGGGATGTTGTGCTGGGTCTCTCCAGCTCTCTTGTTTCTAAGACTTCGTGGCGTCCTAGCTCATCCCTACGAACCCACTCGGCCTTCCTTTTCATTACTTTAGAACGCTTTCCCTTCTTCCCTCCACACCAGCACATGGTGCCTCGGTCCTTTGCCTACCTCGCACTCTGCACTGTCCCCACTGGCCTCTTTCTCCTAAACTAGTCTATGCTCTCTGTGTTCATTCTTGTTTATTTCCCTCTAGTCTCTCATTTCTTCTCCCCCCCCCTCCATTTCAGCCCTTAATTTTTCACTTCCCCATCCCCACTCAGTATTCCTAGTGCAAACCCTGATACAACACTTGTGATGAGACTTTGGGATCTCTGGAACCTTCCCATCTGGGACATCCATTTCCCAGAGTTTGTGCATCTCTCCTCTGCTGGGCCCAGATGAGCTCCCTTGCCCCTCCATGGTGTCCATCAGTCTGTCTGTCTTCTCTTTCCTCTGCCCTCCCCAGGGGGCAGTATCTGCTGATGGATTCAGTCCTGTTGTGTGATTGTTGTGATTTGTTCTTCTGTGTGCAAAAGGAAGGGGGCTTTTTGAGTCCCTTCCAAGTGAGATTGTAAATGTAGAATCTTCCACTGTTGGATCTAGATTTTTTTTTTCTTTTTTTGGGTTACAGAGCTGAGACCTTGTGCATGCATGTAGAAAATTGTATAATGTAAATTTTTTTTTTAATATATAAAAAGCTTGTTTTTACAGTTTGCGGTGGATCTAAACATTATGGCAATTTTAGGGATTTTTTCTTAAACATAGCAACTAAAACTGTACAAATTTTTTTTACATAAAATAAAGACATTTGACTTTTGTGGGGGCATTCTGTTACTTTTCTTTTCTTTTCTTTTCTTTTTTCGGAAATGGGAACAAAAGAGGGCCAGAGAGGAATGAATATATGTTCCTTGTGAGGGAGTGGATGGGCCAGGAGGGGGCAGTGTGAGCTCGTTATGGTTCCAGAAGTCCTCGGGATATGTAGGCAAGAAATGGGAGAAGGAAAAAGAAAATTATGAGGAGGAAAATGCAGTGGTGCTAAGGAGATTAGTATAAAGAAAGGGATTATCAGGAGAAGAGGAAAAAGGCCCTAAATGCATTGCAGAAGCCTCTGGGGCCAACCCTTCCATTACAGGCCCAGAGGCCTAGGGAGACAGAATGATCTTGGGGAACAGACCTGAGGCGCCCTCCACGGGCTCGCCACCCAGGGCCACCTGGGGCAGCCACTTCCAGCACCAGCACTCCAGCTGCTTTGGCTGCTCCAGCTGTGGCTGAATTAGCCCCAGGTATGGCTGGACCTGCAGCTTTAGAAAATACAAGCTGGTAGCCTTGGCAAAATCCGCATGGTGTTAGGTCTGCAGGCTCCCAGACTGCCAGAGCTCTGAAGGCTTGGGAACCTCGACCCCGATTTCAAAGGATGTATGGAAAAGCCTGAGAGCCCAGGAAGAGATCTGTTGCAGGGGTAGAGTCACCACAGACAGCTTTCGCTAGAACAGTGTCGAGTGGAATGTGGGGTCAGAGTTGCAACAGGAAAACCCCAACAGTGCCACACCTAGTGGAGCCATGAGAGTGGGACCACGATAGAGACCCCAGACCTGTGGAGCTACCAGAGAGGAACGCCAGCCTGAATTGTGGCCTGAGACCAGGAAAGCCATAGGAGTGGAGCTGCCCAAGGACTTAGGGTCCCAGCTCTCACACCAGTGTGCAGAGGACATCAAACATGGAGTCAAGGTACATGATTTGCCAGCTTTGGGTTTAATGCCTGCCCTGCTGGGTTTCAGACTTGTTTAGGGCCTGTTACCCCATACTTTTGGCCTATTTCTCCTTTTTTGGACAGGAATGTGTACCCTATGTTTGTCCCGCCATTGTATCTTTTCAGTAGATAACTTGTTTTGATTTCACAAATGGGACTTTGAACTTTGGACTTTTGAGTTGAAACAAGTTAAGATTTTGGGGATGAAATGAATGTATTTACCTGTGAGAAGGACATAAACTTTGGGGGTCAGGGGTGGAATGATATGGATTGTGTCCCCCAAGTTTTATGTATTAGTAGCTTGATCTCCACTGTGACTGTTAAGAGGGTGGGATATATTATTATAGTAATTGAGAAGTGGGGCCTTGAAGAGGTGATTAGACTCTGTGAATGGATTAATAATGGTAGTCATGGGTGTGGTTCTGAGGGCTTTAAAAGGAGAGCAGTGAGACTGTCTCTCTGCTCTGACATTTTCTGCCACGTGAGACCTCCCACATTGCTGTAAAGCCACCAAAGAAAACCCTCACCAGATGTGTTCTCTGGACTTTAGACTTCCCAAGCCTCTGAAACTGTAAGCAAAAAGTTTTGTTTTCTTGTTAAAGAGAAAAAAAGAAAAAGGAAATTGCTTATTCTGAACCCTGATTCTGAGGAGAGAGAATAAAAGAATGTGAGGACTTAGCCTCTCCCTGGGGTGGTTGTTAGGATAAGGAGGAAGGAAAAGTTATTTAATGGGTAGATCCTCTGGAGCAAGCTTGTGTCTGTGTGTCCTCTAAATGAGGGAGAGGAGTGGAATTCTAAAACATCTTTCTAAAACAGAAGGTACCATAGGAATTTCAGGGAATAGCTGATGATTTCAGTCAATAGTGACAGCTCATAACATTTCATTGAGAAGAATACCTGAAGTATATCTCTTAGTTTGGAATACATCTGCAGACCACTGTTCAGTTGTCACGGTGGTGCTTGTCACCAAGCACTAGAATCATAAAGACATCAGCGCCCTTCTCCCACCTTCACTCAGACCTGACCTCTCTGTGACTCTAGGCAAAATGCTTAGTCTGTAGACAGCTTTCTAAGGTTAAAAGCAAACTTTCCTGGGTGGAGTTGACTCATTTACTAGATTTAGGCTTCCTTTCCCCTGCCCCATACTTTGCCCGGCTCTGGGGATGCAAAGACAAGACAACCTTGGTCCTTGTCCTGGAGGAAGACCCAGTCTACAGGGGGTGACAGGCCAGATAGCCTAGTGCCAGGCTGTCTGGCATGCTCACAAGCAGGGCGCACACAAGGCCGGCCTGGATTCCATCGAGCTCAGGAGCTTTCCTTCTTCAAGAAATTTAGGGAGTTCATTTAAGACTCAAGAGGGGGTAACACAATCTCCTTGAGATTAGGTTTTGTTCACCTAAATATTCCTAGCTTCTATATCAGATCCTCGCATATAGTTGGTACTCAATAAAAAGTTATTGAATGAATAATGAATTTTTATTTTTTTATTTTTTTAAATTTTTTTTTCCTTTTTGTCTTTTTTCGTGTCCGGCAATGGATCACAACCCTCAGTGTCGTGCCCGTACCGGACCGGGACCGGCAACGGGATCGCAACCCTCGGTGTCGCGCCCGCACCTCGCTCAGCCAGTGAGCGGGAACCGGTCTGTATGTGGGATTCGAACCCTCGGCGGGAGCGCCGCCGCGCTCCCAAGCGGCGCACTGTAGCAGTGCGCCACCGGGCCGGCCCTGAATAATGAATTTTTATTTTTTTATTTTTTTAAATTTTTTTTTCCTTTTTGTCTTTTTTCGTGTCCGGCAATGGATCACAACCCTCAGTGTCGTGCCCGTACCGGACCGGGACCGGCAACGGGATCGCAACCCTCGGTGTCGCGCCCGCACCTCGCTCAGCCAGTGAGCGGGAACCGGTCTGTATGTGGGATTCGAACCCTCGGCGGGAGCGCCGCCGCGCTCCCAAGCGGCGCACTGTAGCAGTGCGCCACCGGGCCGGCCCTGAATAATGAATTTTTAAAAATGACTAATACAATAGGGGCATATAAAAGGGATCATATATTTTCTTCTTCTCCCTTTAAAAGTACACTCAAGTCTTTCTCATGTGAAAACAAACAAACACTTCCCTTGAAACTGCATCCCCTTTTCTCGTAGCTCTGTCCTTTTTGTAACTAGGCTTGTGGAAGAATACCTGCACTTGCTATTTTTAGTTCACCTCAGAGTCTACTTCTGAGTTATCATCAACAAACTTCTCCCCTAGCATGCCTCTGAAATTATTCTTGCTCTTAGTGCCAAATGTAATAAACACTTTTTAGTTTAGTAAGTCTTTATTCAATATCTATGGTGTTCCCAGCCTGGTACTAAAGTGGTTTGGCTGGTAAAGACACTGGATATGGTCCTACCCTCACTGAGCTAAACTTTGTGGCCCCTTGAGTAGTCTGTATTTAACCTCATGGACCTCTTTCCCTAATGCTGGCCCTGTGAATTAATAGATTTAAGGGCAGATCTCAATATTTGGTCAATAAGATGATATTTTCTCTAGGGGCTTGCTGAAAGCAAAAGTGATAATCTCAACCTTTTGTCATGTAACAAAGGGTGTTTATAACTGTAGCTGAAAAGATGAGCTTTCCAAGGAAGTACTTCACATATCACTGAAGGTCGGGACTCAGCTTGGTGGACTGTAAGGATCACGCCCAGGACCTCCTGACATTGCTGCCCAGATGTGATTTTCCAGCCTTTGCCTTTGAAATGCAGTCAAGACGGGACTGGGAACTGGGGCTCTGGATGATGTGACATAAGGATATTTAGACCCAGGTCTTAGCAATTCGTTATTAGTTTTTTTACTTGGGGCAGTTTAATGGCTTCTATAGAACTGAAACCAAAACCCAGCTGCTTAAAATAGCACCTGGCTTGGGGCCGGCCCGGTGGCGCGCTGGAGAGTGCGCCACTTGAGAGCGCGGCGGCGCTCCTATCGAGGGTTCGGATCCCATGTGGAGACCGGTTCCCACTCACTGGCTGAGTGTGGTGTGGGCGCAGCACCGAGGGTTGCGATCCCGTTGCCGGTCCCCGGTATGGGCGCGACACCGAGGGTTGCGATCCCGTTACCAGTCAGTAAAAAAGACAAAAAGGGAAAAAAAAGGAGTCAGCCTTTGTAAAACCATTACAGCATTAGTGCATACAAGGTCATGGAAAATGCTACAGAGATTAAATAAAGGACTGTCCACATAGGAGAAAGAACTTGGAGAACAGTTATCCTTGTCCACCTCCCCAATTTCTCTTTAGGTGGGGAATGGGGTCTATTTCTTTGTTCCGAAGGTTAGGGCAGACATGATATCCTAGGAGCTTATAACAGCAAATGCCACACTTAAGTATGTGTGTAGTAGTGGGAGAAGGCACTGGTTTATAATTAGGAAACCCGGACGAGGTATTGGTTACTCTTATTTCATCTCATGTTTTGGTAGGGCACTTACGGTGTGCTAGGCATTGGGATATCAAGATAAATAAAACATTGCCCCCCTCCCCTAAGAGCTCGTGGGACTTTTGCTAGTAGAATTGAAAATTTTTATTATTTTGTCACCTGTTGTAGGCAACCTAAGGAAGTACAACTATTCCCTAGAGGTGGTAGGTACTGTCAGCAAGAGGTAGACTGAAGCTAACATCCTGGAATGCGTTGAACTTGACATAGAAGGTATTTTGATGTCACTATTCAAAAAGAGCCATCTGTACTCTCTGATATCCTGTAAGGGGAATCACTTTTCTTGAATAAAATTAGGAGCATTAGATCTTTGGTTGTGTCTTGTCTCTTCTTGCTTTTGGGTACAATTAGCCCATGCTGGTGCTCCACCCAGGGCAAATATGTGGTTAAAAGTATCTGAATTTTTAGCCTTTTTAGGGAAATGAAACTACTGTGTATGGGACTATAATGGTGGATATATGTCATAAATTTGTCCAAACCCATGCAGTGTACAACACCAATAGTGAATGCTGATGCAAATTTTGGACTTCAGGTTAAGATATGTCAATGTAGGTCCATCAATTGTAATAGATGTAGCACTCTGGTGGGGGATGTTGAGAATGGGAGAGGCTAC